CAAAGAGAAGAGTGAACTGAGCTGGAGGTTGCATAGGGAGAATAGTGCAACAATGAATGAATGGAAATCCAAAATCTCTGTAAACTTTCCTTAAAATTAATTTAAAGAAATAAAACATAGTTCATATTTAAAAAAAATATAGGAATATGCAAAAGCAGAGGAGTAAATGTGAACCACTGGATTAGGACAAGCAATAACAGAGTATATCATTTGTACACAAATGAAAATGTGAGAATGAGAAGTAGCCAAATTAAAGTAACAAGTAAACAAGGCAAATTTTATACCACTGAAACAAACAACCAAACAAAAAATGAGTGTGATGTTATGCTAACAAACTGATCCTTAGTTACAAATGTAAGGCTAACCCGAACAACACCCCATTGCTACTGCACTGATTCGGATTCAAGGTGACCTCGTGTGCTCAGAGTAGAAATATGCTCTATAAAGTTTTCAATGACCCTCATTTTTCATAAATAGATTGCCAGGTTTTCTTCTGAGACACTTTTTGGTGGACTTAAACTATCAATCTTTTGTTTGTTGTGTACTGTCCCACTGGACATTGCTGGGCACTGAGGGAACCCCGCCAAAGCCACTGCAGAGAACTTGTGAGGTACACCTCTGGGAAGTTTGACTTTCAGAGGCTGTAAATCAGTGAAGAAGAGATCGCCCGTCTTTATCCAGCTGGTAAATTTGAATCACCCATCTTTAGGGTGGAAGCACAACTTCCTACTCACCAGGCAACCAGAGTCTACAGTCTTAATAAGATAAATACTATTCCAGTTAAACAATATAAACAGATGATCACTACATATATTTTCACTTTGTATGTTTCTTATTATTGTGTTCAATTTTTTTTTAAAAGTATGGATGGATAGAATAAGATGAAATATTGTTTTACAGTTTTATTAATGAAATGCAATGAATGAGTTTGCTGGATTTCATGTGTTACTGCCTATATTGTGTTTGAGTCTGTTAAAGGAAATGTTAAATCTTCTTTATGATTATTTGCCATTAGTTTTATAGCTTTTGCGATAACTGTAACCCTGCACTAAAACTGTTCCCAAATAAACGTGCAGTTGGAAATGATATTATATTTTAGGCAGACAGAATGGAAAGAGTAAATAAATGATTCAATAATTTTGTAGTACTCTTTCTTTCATTTAAATTTTTCTTTTCATAGTGAGTTTCTCTTAAGTTATTGCACTTTTCATTTACCTTGATATAAAAACTTATTAGTATGATTGTGTACTAAAGGATTACAATTTATATTTACGAAAGGTTTATTTCCAAAGGACATTTGAAGGGTGTGTATAGAATTTGAGGCATTGCTTTTTTGTGTGTGCTCTATCAGTCAGGAAATAAAAATCACTCAGATATTTCAAGCATAAAGGTACTTCATATGAGAAATTTATTTAAGCAGTATTGAGAAGACTGGAGGAGGAAAATTGGGGTAGTTTAGGTGGCCTTATTTGAAGATGAGGCACTCCTAGAAGCTGCTTCTGCACTTTCTTTGAGCTCCCATACTTTGCCCGTACCTGGATGCTGTGGCCTCAAACCCTGGGAGAAACTTTGCCCACTCAAGGCTATCAGTCTGCACTAACTTGATTGCATCCGCCATTGTTACTGGAGCTCAAAGAGAAGCTTCTTTTTCACTCTCTCGTGCTTTCCGTTCTCGTGGGAGCACTGTCCATAGCCCTGCTGATGAAACCAGTTCCTGTGATTCTGGGATGGAATTTCAAGGATGAAGATGGTGCTGAGTAGCATGACACAATATCTAGCAAATGCTGGAGTGTCTTATGCATTGCAATCTTAGCCACAGCTAATTAAATGACAACAGTACCCTCCGAGATAATTTTGATACACCTTAGATAAAACTCCCCCTTCCTCCAAAGAAACCCTTATGGTATCATAGTTAAGCACTCAATTACTACAAAAACTTTGACAGTTCTAACCTACCCAGCTGCTCCTCAGATAAAAGCCAAAGAACCCCCCCTGGGGGCAGTTGCTGTCACTACAAGATTGACTCAGGGGCTCTTAATAGCAACAGCCATCCTCCCTCTCTCAAGTCTTCATTCAGAATGTCTCCTGGGTAGCTAGGACATTATTGTTAGACTTAATGGTGTACAGGATAGGAGCTCTAAGTCTGGAGATCTGTGAGTGGCCTTCAGGTTATTTGTGGCTCTGGCAGCATAGTCCATAGTGAGTTGTGCTGCTAACCCAAAGCTGGCACCTCTCTGGTGGTTCAAATCCACCAGCGGCTCTGTGAAAGGAAGATGAACACTCTCCTCCTATGCAATCTACAACCTTGGAAACCTGCTCTAATCAGTTCTAACTCTCTGGCAGTGAGGTTGAGTTTTGAGTAATGTTAGAGAAACTTGTGTGTGACAGCCAGAAGATGGTATCGGGTCCTCAAAGTCATCTCTGATTCTCTGAAAGGAGTACGAGATCAGATATGTACAAGGTCATAATGGGTGGCATGATTAGCAAAAGCTTTTTAGTTATAGCAGAAGCATTTTTTAAGAGTTCATAGACTTTGAAATATTTTCACATTTATCATGTTTGACCTGTGGGAGTAGAGGATGAGAAAGAACCTGGAATCCAGAATAAGGCATGTTAGTATATAGAGCTTGAGGGAGGGGCTGACTCTCATTAACAAGAAAAAGAAGGCAATTTCCTAATTAGGTGAAGGACAGTAATAAAAATCTGCCCTAGAGTTCCAGCATGCCTTAAGATCCTCAATCTTCGGGGGGGGGCGGGGGTTGTGCGGGGAGAAGGGTGCAACAATGAATGAATGGAATCCCAAAATCTCTGTAGATGTTCATTGAGATGAAAAATAAACAACATAAATTAAAAAAAATCCTCAATCTTCACAACAATCTTATGAATTCATCCCATTTTACACATGAAGAAACAAAACTCTGAGATGTTACATTACATGACAAAAATAACATAGTAACTGGTTGCATGGGCCTCAAAATGGAATAGTCTTTGGCCTGTAGAACCTGAGATTTTCTACTGGAGCAGACACGTAGCATAAACAGCTACAGCAGAGCTTCCACCACGCTCATCACCAGCTCTGCCTATGGCTCAGCATTTGGGGCGAGGCCAGCTCAAAGGAAGGTTGTCCATGTTAGTCAAACACACATATATGGGGAAAGTTAACAGTTAAGCCAGTCTAGACCATGGACACTTGTTTTCTCCTGTTGGAATGATCTGTTCTAGTCTCTCTGCATGGCTGGATCATTCACATCGTCTCTATTTCAGCTGACACATCATCTTGTCACAGTGGACAGTGTGACTACCATTTCCAAAGTAGCTTTCCTGGTTCCTTTGCATCCTTCTTGGCACTTGCCAAATCTTGCACACTCATTTGCTAGTTTACTTTCTTCACCATTAAAATGAAAGCTCTAGTTTTCCATCTGACATACTTTGGACAAGTGATCAGGAAGGGCCAGTCCTTGGAGAAGGAATATCATACTTGTAAGGGTAGAGGGACAGTGCAGTAGAGGAAGACCCTGGATGAGAGAGATTGACTCAGTGACTGGAGAAATAATGGCTCAGAATTTCATGAACAGGTTTCAGAGCTAATGTACTCTATGGGACATAACAACAGCAACAATATGCCCTCATTGCCTGGGAGAATACTTGATTCTGAGTTCTATTACAATTTGTTAAATGAGTGAAGGTGGGAGTATGGTGGCAGACCTCCTAGTAGTTCTAGTTTTGGCCTTGGAATCATGTTCTCATTAGTCAGGCTACATTTGCAGATCTAGAACATCATATATCTACAATGAGTTATATGTTATTATACTATGTCTCTTATTTATGGAGCATTTTTTAAGTGCACATGGTATTCTCATGAAAACAGAGATTTGACAGGTCAACATTAGCAACAAAACACGCATGTAAACGGGTAGCATTTGCTTGCCAGCAGCATGAGACCATTTAACCATTACTTCCTTGCTCTCTTTGTCTGTAGGTTGTTCACCATGACCCTTGCCGTGGGGGTGCAGGACAGTGGAACAGCTTGTTTAGATTCAAACATCTTGCAACTGGGAACTATTTGGCTGCTGAGGTAAGACTAATGGACGTATAGGGATCATGCTGCTGGGTTCTCAAAAAGATGTTCTACTTGTAGAAACATCATTATGCAATTTTGATTATTGCTTTTATCTTCTGAATTACATGTTATTATATACATATCTAATCAAAATCAGAGACTAATCTTTCTCTTGAAAATGAAAACAACAATTGCAACATCAACACAATCAGTTGTAGTTTTCCTGTAAAGATTAGAGCAAAGAAGTATGGAATTTACAACTATATATAATTGTGTAAGTGTGAAAAATTTAACTTTGTTCTCTCAGAATATCTGCCTACACTGGGAGTATGATTCATTCGTGTTGATTTAGGATAGTCCAGATAATTCCAGGCTTATCTTTAGTGGCCACTCTCTCACTGGTGGATGGCTTTTATTGTTGAAAACATGAAAGAGGAAAAGAGTTTTCTTCCTGAGATAGTGAATTAACCTAAAATCATAGATAAAAATGGTAAAAACATTTCCAAGTCTTCTCTTTTTCCATTGGAAGCATGTTGACAGCCAAGTAGATATGAAAAGTGGTAGGACTAACTTCATGGAATTTTGAAATCTGACTTAGTTATATTTTGGTTATCCATTTTAAGAATATTTTTGAAAATGTTCTTTTTCAGATGGCTGAAAAATCATTCATTCATTTTATTCTCTGCAACTCTGTTTCTCTATTTTAATATAGAGTTCTTTCTGGGGTTCTAAATCAGAAATGAATCTTGGAATTTTGAATATTACTTTTGGCTTTGGAGGTGAGGGAGGGTTAGGAAAGGAGTAGGGCTGGTGAGGCTATTTGGTGAGTTCAGGATGGATGAGAAGATGATGTGGGGAATGGCTGTTAAGTTTCCATAGTATGTGACTGAAGGGACCGTTTCACTCTTTCTATCTGACTTACTGTAAACGGAATTTCTTTGTTCATTGACTCTCTTTGGCAAAAGAATATATATTCCATGAGGGTCAAAACTGTACTTCATCTCTAAGATATTTTTAGTATGTAGAACAATGTCCAGCACTTACAAAACATTTAATGAACAGTTCCTGAATGAATGAGTGAATGAATCTAAAAAAAGAAGTTTTCAGAATTCCATCAATTTAGAGGATGGAAAGCAGAAAATTTCAGTGTATGTGAGCAGCATGTGGTGCGTGCTTGGAAAATATCAGTCTTTCGAAGTTCCAGTTTCCTCCTCTGGAAATTGAGGATAATCATAACATTGCTATAAGTAGATTGTTAATAGAATAAAATAAAGTCAAGTCCTGGTGGCTTGTGGTTAGTACCCAGAGAGTTAGGCTCTCAAGTTTAATTGTATTTAATATGTAATTAAATAGGGGTTATTCTTATTTTGTAAATATTTGACAAATAATGTTCAACTAAATAAAACATAACTTTGTGATCTAGGTATGTTTATACCACAGTATTTTGAAGTCATTTTTTGGAAAGGTAACCTTTGAAGCCTCCTAACAAGACACCAAATAGAAGATAAGAAATTAACATTAGATCCTTCTATATCTTTTGTTATAGAAGAATTGAGAAGAATGGGAATCCCAGAGCACTTAATCGTGCTTATGGTGAAACCTATACCGAGACCAGGAGGTGAATAGAGCAAGAGAACACTGCATGATATAAAATTGAGAAGGGAGTATGTCAGGGTTGTATTCTCTCTCCATACCTATTCAGTCTGTATGTTGTTGTTGATTGCCATCGAGTTTAGCATGACTCTTAGCCACCCAGTGAACAGAAGGCCTGTAGCCTCTCCATAACCATTGTCATTCATCAGACTTCATAGAGTTTCCAGAGGCTTGTTGTTTAGGAAGTGGATGCTACTCCAGAAGCTGGATCTTATAAAGAAATATGTGCCATCAGGATCTGAGTGAGACTGATCAATAACCTGCATTATGTAGATGACATATCCTTGCATGGTGAAAGTGAGGAGGACTTGAAGCACTTGTTGCAGAAGATCAAAGAATACAGCCTTCATAATGGATTACATCTCAATGTCAAGAAAACAAAGATTCTTACCACTGGACAGATAGACAACATCCTGATAGATGGAGCAAAGATTGAAACGATCAACAACTTCATCTTACTTGGATCCGTAATTAACACCCTTAGTTTCAGGAGTAAAGAAATAAGGAGATATATTGCACTGGGTAAGTCTGCACTTAGGGACTTAAATTAGTTAGGAGTAATGTCAGTTTGAGGATCAAGGTACATCTGATTTAGGCCATGGTCTTTATGATCCCTTGCAATGCATCTGAGAGCTGGACATAAAGATGACAAAAGAATTGATGTCTTTTGAACTGTGGTGTTCGAGAAGAGTACTGAACATCCCATGGACTGCCAAAATAACAAATGGATCTTGGAGAAAGTGCAGTCAGAGTGCTTTTCAGAGGCAGTGATGGTAAAGTGTCATCTCACATACTTTGGGCATGTTGCTAGAAGGCACTCTTTCTTAGAAAGGGAACTGGTGCTTGAAAAGATGGAAGAATGGTGAAAGAGAGGAAGACCCTCAATCAGGTGGATTTACACAGTGACTACTGCATTGGGCTCTAGTGTGTCAGAAAGTGTGAAGATGGCATACAAGAGGGTTCAGATCTGTTATTATAGGGTCACTATGGATGGTAATCAACTCGACTGCACCTAGCAACAATAACATATTTTTTGTTAGTGCTCTTCTCTACAGTTTTCTTTGTAAACAGTAGCTTTTTAAAGCTATTGAAATCTTTCTCCCACAGAGTTAACTGATGGATTTGAACTGTCTGCCTTTGGGTTGGCAGCTAACTCCTTATCACTAAGACACCAGAGCTCCCTACACATTGCTGTTTTCTTTGTCATTAATATGTACAAATCATACAGTTGTTAGGAATCACACTGATTATTACCTTAATATAAGTCCAAGACCTCTGTACACAAATGAAATGATGAAAAATGGGAAAAAAGGATGTAATTCATTTCTACAAAAGGATGTGAAATTGTCTTTTCAATTTGCCTCTGGAGACGATGACTTCAAATGCCACATGCTATTTTGGCTGTCAAAGAGATTGGTGTATTTGGAGGATCTTTTATTTGACTTTTAATATTTTATGGGCACATCTTTTTATGGCAAGGTGTGAGAAGGAAAATGAAGCATTGAATATCTGAAATATGAAAACAAGGTATCCATTTTTGACTGCTTTTTAGGAACATAACAGTATAGGTGCTTCTGTGTAGTATTCTAACATCAGAGACTATAGCCTCAAAATACGGACATTCATTAGGTGAAGTTATATACTTCCTTTGTCAACTAAGTTCAGACAAGATCCTGGCATAGCCATATCTTCTGCTCAGGTGAAAGTGCAGCCTAACCCACTGCTGTTGATGGCCTTTGCAGGCAGTGAAGTTTTCCCTGGATCTTAAAATGAATGAACTCAGAATTGTAGAGACATCAAGCCACAGTCTTTGTAGAAGTTGCCAAGGGGACACTGTCAGAGATGTGGGATGCCCAAATGAAGTTGTAGACAATATTATAAGACAATACAACAGCAGGCACTGGGAGCTCTGATGGCCTAGCGGTAAGGAGTTGAGCTGTTTAACCCCAAAAGATATGGTTCGATTCCACCAGCTGCTCTCTGGGAGGAAAATGGGCAGTCCCCTCTGTGTGATTTACAGCCTCTGAAAATCCACCTGAGGATCAGCTATGAGTTGATTCTGATATGACAGCACATAACAACAACATAAGTGCAGGCATTCAGGAGCCCTGGCAGTGCAGTGGGTGAAGCACTGGCTTGCTAACTGAAATATTGACTGTTTTAATCCTCAGTAGCCCTACAGAGACAGGTGAAGCGGTCTGCTCCTGTAAAGGTTTATAGCCTTGCAAGCCCTGTCAGCCAGCTCTTGTTTTAAAGGATTGATAGGAATCATGCAATAAAGACATTTGGGACTTTGGCAGATAATACCTGGGCTTTATTAACGGGTAGTTATACTCGCAGCCTATATAAATTGGTACATTACTAGCTCTGTTCCAATAGTGTCTGTGTGTCACAGATGACAGGAGGAGGATGGTAAGCAGTTGTATTATTTTATACAGCCTTTATTTCACAGCACAGCACATTCTACACTCAACACCACTTTCTCATAGATCTTCTCCTTATATCACTTTATTAATGTAGGGGAGCTCCCAATTGGCAGAGAAAGTAATTGCATTACTTTTTGGTAGGACAACACAGAATCTGGACTGTTCCCTGAAAGGTCTGTGGGTCAGACTCACTCAGTGGATCTGTGGGGGAAATCCGAGCCAGTCGGCTTCAGTAAAAGTTTATAGTCTTAGAAACTCTTTGGGACAGTTCTCCTCTGTCCTATTCTGTAAGTCGATTAGACTGCCTGGATTGGTAAAGAGTTGATAATGCCCTTTAGACAAATTAGCTTCTTTGTTTGTAGATAAGCAAAATTTCCACCAGATGGCAGTAAACACATATTTCCCAACTCTTCAATAGTCTTCATTTGGTTAATTAGGCAAAACCGTAACTACTTAACCTGTATGTTAGTTTAGAATCTTATGTATATTAAGAATTAGTTTTAAATAGTCTTGTGTTTAATCATCTCTTGAATGTATCCGCCATAATGAGGCCTGGTTTGTTTGTGTATGTGTGGCTATGTTGTTGTTAAGTGCCATGGAGTCGTAGATGACTCAGCAACCCTATGAATAAGTGACCTGAACACTTGTATAACTTTCATCATTTCTCCAAGTTCGT